AATAATGATCTTATCAGTTTTCTGATGAGATTGTGTTTTGTGTTTTATTTACAGATCGAAAGGTCAAAAACCAAGTGCATGGACTCGTTGGACGCATTAACGGTCGTTTAGGTTCTATCTCTTCTCTTCCAATTTATCACCTGGTTTGTTTGTTTTCTCTAAATTTATTCATTTTTTCATGAAGTATATAGTTTTCTTCATAGTTTCTTGTTTAAGTTTTTTCTCATTTTGTCTGTCACGATTGTTCTGTTAACTTCAATTACCTGTGTGCACTTTACGCGATTGCAGGTAATTAATTTCCTTCACTACACGTAAATCATTGATTTGATTACACTTCTTTCCATGACTTTTTTATTTTCTTTTCTTTAGATGTAATGCTTGTAACATCTTCGAGAGATGGAATGAATCTTGTTAGTTATGAATTTGTTGCTTGCCAAGAGGCGAAAAAAGGAGTTCTTGTTCTCAGCGAGGTAACAAAAATAAGTTTTCAATGTTAATATTGACTCTGAAAATGCTTTAGATTAATGTTTAAAGTTACTGATTTTTGCATGAAATTTATACAGTTTGCAGGTGCAGGACAGTCTCTTGGTGCTGGAGCTATTCTTATGAATCCTTGGAATGTTACAGAAGTTGCTTCTGCCATTAAAGAAGCTCTAAATATGCCATCTGAAGAAAGGGAAACAAGGCACAGAGTTAACTTTCAGTATGTGAAAACTCATTCTGCTAAAAAATGGGGAGATGATTTCATGAGGTAATCCAAAAGAATTAAGAAGAAACCTTTAATTTTCTTCAAAATATTGACTCGATAAAGCAAGAGCTTATTTTAAGACAAGATTTTGTTCATCTCTTTGCAGTAAACTCAATGACACTTTCGTCGAATCTGAGATGCAAATTCGGAAAATCCCGCATGAACTTCCACAACAAGATGTGATACAACGATATTCACAGTCTAACAATAGACTCATAATCCTGGTAATTAAGTTTACTTAGGAGATTTTAATCTAATTTGTATTTTCATACCTAAATTAGTAAACTGACATATATCTTTTCAATTTTCAGGGTTTCTTTGGAACACTGACTGAGCCAATGAATAGTGGAAGTAAGGAAATGGATCTTAAACTAAACCCAGAGCTAAAAGGAACACTAAAAGAATTATGCAATGATCCAAAAACAATAGTAGTTGTACTGAGTAGAAGTGGAAGAAACATATTAGATAAAGTAATTATTAATGCCTTTCTTATCTCATATTTGCTTATTATCACACATATATATATCTTATATCTCACTGGTTTGGTACTTTAAAATCAGAACTTTGGAGAGTATAAGATATGGTTGGTTGCGGAAAATGGAATGTTCTTAAGGCATACTACTGGAGATTGGGTAACAAATATGCCTGAACACATGAACCTCGATTGGGTCGATGATGCAAAGGTAAGTAATTTAATTTCTTTGGAAATATTTGAAGCTTGATCCTTACTTTATATATAATTCTGGTTTGATTACTTTGTATATTGTAGAATGTTTTTAAGTACTTCACTGATCTAACTCCAAGATCGTTCTTCGAAGCAAGCGAGAATTCACTTGTATGGAATTACGAATTTGCAGGTGATTTAGATTATAGTTTCTTGGATATTAATC